AATGATGGAAGTAAAAAGGACAAACATCAATTCTGTGATGAAAAGTTTGTAATTATGGCCTGTAGATGTCTTTAGCTGTAGAAGTTAAAATTCACCGTCTCCTCCCCAGTTCTGCCTCCTTATTATCTGTTTCTCTTGTGTGTTGTCTACAGCTCTGCCCTCTCATTAATCCTAGGTGTTGTTTCTCAGTGTATTAGTACCCCTGTGTTTGCTCAGGTGGTTTGTCTTGCATTGCCTATGTGAGTCCTTTGTTTGTTTTATGTATTTCTAGTTTACACTTGCCTCACAGTTGGTTTCTGGTTTTAGTTTGCCTTCTTCTGTGTTTGGTTCTATGTTTTATTCCTGTTTGGCTTCCTTTTCATTCTTTTGTTTCATCCTCTTCACTATGGATGTCTCTGGTCTACTCACCACTACTCAGTTTTTGGACTCAAATCATTACACACTGCTATAGGGAGCCATATATATATATATATATATATATATATATATATATATATTTTAGTGCAAGCTGGAGTTTAGCATACATGAGCTGCGTCTCACTCGTTCCCTGAGCGAGCTAAAGTTTTGTATGAAGCTGGGTGATCTGTGAAGTCTATTAGAGAGAAAAGTCAAGCAATGCATCATTTCTCTGAGGGCTGAAATCTTTTTTTGGACTCAGCCACTGCAGCGCCGCTTGGGTCTGCAGATTACAAAGGAGGAGAACCATCTGAACCATCGCTTTCACTTTTTTTATTTGGAGACTTCAAATCCCCCTTTTCAAATGAGAAGCATTTTTTAAATCCTCATTGCTATGCAGAAGGGCCATCTAGCAGATTTGTACATATTCAGTCGCTCATAAAATGCACTGCCTTCCAACAAATAAAAGGTTGAAGATAAAACCCAAAATAGGTCATTTCAGAACCAGAGAGGCCAGAAGAAAGAAAAATAAATATACGAGGAAGAAAAGAATTAAAAAGTCAATCGTTTGCCATTGTCCACAGTTTCAAAGCCGGGGCAAGTCTGACAGTGTGGCTTAAAGAAATTCTGCAGGTCCTTTTCTACTTCTCAAATGATGCTGCTGTAGTGAGGAACTCGAGTACAGGGCTTGTGGGAATTTGTACAAGCTTCATGTGCTGCAACAGTTGCTTCATCCTTGCGGTTCTTCGAGGTCTGTGTACACAGCAGATCCTTTACCAGGTTTATAGGCAAGACAGCCAGTGCTGGTGAAGTATGCAACCCAAATAAAAGATGAAGGAACTTGAAGAATAAACATAGGAAAGAGTTATTCAGATACACTGAGTTGCCACTTTATTAGAAACATTTGACTGTATCTACACTCACTGGCCATTTCATTGTGCTTATGTACCATATAGGTTTACACTAACTGACCCATCTGTTGTTGCACAGTGTACCAGCCCCCTTTAGTCCACCAATTACTGGAAAGGGATCACCATTCTCAACCAACATAAATGGGTGGTGGACCCATGGGTGGTGGACTCTACAAAGCAGTAACAAGTTAGTAGCATGGCTGTGCTCAGAATGGTCCCCCACACAAATAATGATGGATGGGGTAGAGGGGGCTGATAAACTGTGCAGCAGCAGATGAGCTACAGTGCATACAGTGCACACAGCAGACATAACTGTTAATGGCCAATGAGTGGCCAATGAGTGTAAATACAAGGTACCCAATACTCTGAGAGTGTATGTCCAAAAGTATCAAGTCACCATATATATATATATACACACCCTTGGTTGAAGTATATTCAATGTTAAGTCATCACCTAATTCCAGTATACAGGCGAGTGGCTTTAATAAAGGCAGCCGTGAAAGCCCATGTGTACTATCCCACTGATCAGACGAGATTAAGGTGACACTGATTTTTTGTCATCAGTGAAATTGTTACTGATAAAACATAGGTTTTTCTAAGGGGCTTGCTTTATTTTGTGTTTGCCACACTGCCCTATATGAGAAGAATGAAAAATTAACAATAAGCTAATTTACTAATTAGTATTAACAAACAGCTCACCTTACAAATAATACAAGGTGAACTGGTAACTCTCAATGTAAAACACCACGATGATTAAAATACTGGGTAACACTACTGTAGGGCACTGGTAATAATGCTTTATGACATCTACATAAGCTTATCATGTCAATTGACATAAAAGCTTATTCCAACAGGCGGCATTCGCTATAAAGTCTACATTTACCAGTTTTGATCAAAGTTAGCTAAAGTAGTCTTATTATAAACAGTTATGTAAAGTTAAACTTCAGTTGTCATGACAAGCTTATGTAGGTGTCATGTTACCTTATGAACAGTACCCGACAGTAAAGTATTACCAAATATTGAAGCTTATTTAAATTTTGACATGAAAATCTACGGGCTCACATCAGCATTTTTACCTTCATAAAAACAATATCAGAGACAATATTCATATTGGTCTAGTTAAAGCAAGACACTAGAGGCAGAACTGATCATTTTTCTCTATGACTTTTCAGATTTTTTGGATGACTTTTATCTACAGCATGTCCTCCCATCAACTGCAATCATAAAAATGTCAACGTAGATCAGAAATCCGTTGTGTCACATAACTAAAAAACATGTTTCCTATAGAATCTAACTAGAATATCCAAATACGTATTTCATACAGGCAAAAGTGCTGCCACTACAGGCATTTTTCCTGTGATGTCCCTGGCTAATGCAGTTCTGAGGCCCACCCTTTAAACTGATTTTCTTTTTTCAATCAGCTTTTCTCTTCATTCATAATAAAGAAATCTCAGCTTCTAGAACACTTGCATTCATTTACATGTTCATTGCTAACTCAACTCCGGAGGATATTATAATATATGGTTCATAGCTGGATTTTTGCTATGCTATGGATTTTGCTATGCTATTTATTTTATTTACATGACCTGAAATACATTGTATCAGCGTTTTCTCAATGAAACAATTAAAGAGTGCTATAATCTCTTCTATAAAATTCTTTATCTGGATTATGTCTTAATAATAAAATAAATACTATCACTCAAATGAATATAATTTTTAAAAAACACAAATATATGTATTTTCAAGTATGTAACATCTCATTGGCATAAATGTAACCAAACTAATACAAAAAAAAACAGGAAAAAAGTAAGAATATAACAGTAATCATCAACTGTGATCTATTGTTTTAAAGAAGGGACCCTATTCACCTGTAGTGTCTTGCCTTAGGCAGAAAGCCTGCGGTTCCCCACTAGCAGTCCTTCCTTGCTTGTGTTCAGCCCACTATTTGAACCACTGTCATGGAGACCCATGCTATGGCTTCTCATCTCAGAAACAGCTCATCCCTCCAGGTTTACACTGGCACTGAATAAAGAGATGAAACTGAAGATGCAATATTAAGCACTGACAGCAACGACTGCTTAGAAACTGTAAATAATGTACAGCGATTTATTCAAGGAAGTGCTTTTTAATGGACGCCAAAGGGAACAACCAAAAGATGCCTTATTTGTTTATCATGCTTTTTTCCATAAATGTGTGTATCTACTGCCCTCTAGTGGATTTCCTCTAGGAAGCAGCGTGCAGATGAGAAATGCTCAACTCGGGACTGTTATATAAATATGTATGTAATATGCATTTTAATGCTGTTGTGATAACTGAATAGTATTCTATTGCATTATGTACTTGGAAGACACACGGCGTTACCAAACGAAGGGCGCACAGATTATGTACAGTGAACCATTTCTCGTTCATTAAAATCATCAGAGTTGAAAGTGCTCAGTGTATTTTAATAGTCAGACAGTCAAAAGTATGTTTCGGTTCGGGTTTCAACACCTACTTCATATTGAATAATTATGCAAATGCGGGGACAGCGATCGATTTGCATGCGCCTTTCGCATGCTCATGAATATTAACAACGAGCAAATGCAACAGCATTAAGGCGCTCTTCCTCTTGCACACTGTAGGGAGTGCAGTCACATTTGGCTACTAATCTTGCAGAGCAGATGATATCTCTAATGTGTGGGGAATGCCAAGACAGGCAGATGGAGGTCCACTTGGATGCCGACTACTGATTTCCAATGATTAGCATAAGGAACTCACTCTGCTCTTGATTACTGCTTGGCAACCGTGGACACGTCATTGAGTTTTAATTAACACAAAGTAAGGAGCATTTCATTAACATTTAAAAACACAGAGACATCTCGAGAGATATGCGAGCGAGCATAGAAAGAGTTGATTTTCTACTTTTAGGCTTATATTATTAGCTGATTAAGTAGGCCATGTAGAGCACCTTAGAATATAATTAAATGAAGTCCAGATTAACAGATTAATGAACGTCTGGAAGTAAATGTTGACACAAGGCTTTTCAAATTGAACAGGGGGGAAAAGATAACCCAATACAAGCAGGCGCGCCTGATAATTTAATGAAAATGACTCAGTTAATTGAAATACGTTGTGTAGAACACAGCGGTGGACTACTGGGCCCTATAACCCATAATTTCCCATTCTTTCTGGCAAATTCAACTATAATCCTTTTATCATTTTATTTCTATGATTGTTTCTTGTTACAAGAGAAAGGAAAGAATGAAATAAAGAGAGGGATGAAAACAGAACCCCACGGCTACATATTCTGCTGCTGTTCACAGTTAATGATTATAACTGTTATATATCAGAAATACAGCTTCATGTCAGTACTGTGGATTGTGCTGCATATTTGCTTACACTAAATAATTGGTTATTCTTTATATGTAACCCATTTCTCCCAGTATTAAATTAAAGCTTCCATTTAGAATTCTAACACATATGCAACTATTTCACTTACACTTTCTAACCACTGGGCTCTTGTTGGAGGACACTGCTGCAATCCATTTTGAAAGATAGCCTTTTTGAAATATGTCTGTTTTCCCTCTTCATCATTTATTCACTTGAGTGGGGGTTGTAGGTGGGGTTTGCTGGTGGGTGGGGTTTTAGAGGTGGAATTCACAGCTTCCAGCTTCACCAATAGCTATGATAAATAACATTATTTTACAATGCTATGAATGAGCTGTAAACAATAATAATAAAAAAAAAGGGCACAAAAAGTTATTGTTCCCAAAACAGGGGCGGTAGTTTATTTTATATATAGATAGATAGATGGATGAATAGATAAATAAATAATTAAAGAAACAAACAAACAAACAAATAAATAAATAAATGTAACAATAGCCCTTTTTGGCTTTTTTTTTTCTTTAAAGAACCATTTACAACTAGTTCCACCGTAGAAAGGAACAATTTATATATATATATACATACACACCCACACACATCACTGCCTTTACTTATAACTTATACCTTAAAAAATGGTGTATTTAACAGTAATTAGTAGAGATTGTCCAAAACACCCATGGTGATTTGTCACATCTTGATTTAGTAATATATTTTTTCTTCTGACAACAATGTTCTAAAACCTTAAGTCTATTTTAATAGTAATATTAATTAAATATTAATAAAAAAGTAATAGTATAATGACTGTCAATTTTACTCTGATATCAATTTAAAGTCAATTTTGCTCTAAATTGGCAAAAAGCGACACAGCGAATCTCATTCTTACAGCAGAATTCACTGAGGACTCCTGAGCTTGCTGTGTATCAGAAGAGCTCAAAATTATCTGAGAGTTCATTTCTTTTCCTCATGCCTGTTTAATATATATAGTTAAATAGTCTTTAGATTTAAACATAACTCTAGATGGTCTGTGAAATCCAAGGTACCAGTTTTGATTATGCACATTATAATCCTAAAACTGAGAATGCTGTCATCAAATAAGCATGTTAAATGACTGGGTATGCACTTGTAAAATATTATATCAATGGTACATAAAGCCGGAAGAACATAGCCATATGTTAAAGGAAATATGGTTCATATAGACTCGTCAGCTATAAAAATGAGCCAGTTTTACAGTTGAAGCCCTGAGGACTTCACCTCTGCTTTAGTAGTTATACATTACATAAACGCAAATAAATAAGCAAATAAAGAAACATTTTTCAAGCTTGCTTTCCGCATTAGTACGTGTCATGAATCACTTGTCTTATATAGTTGCACACCATACAATGGTCAATAATGTCACATGCTTTCCTGCAGCTTCTGTCTACATGGCTACTTCTGCAATGACCGTCACTTCCTGTTATGTGTACGAAAGCAGGTTGATGTCATAAGAGCCGTCCACCTGGAAATAATAAGAGAAGAAGAAGCACATTTTATGGTAGTCATTGTGTAGTTGTTGTACAGTGTTGCTAGAAAAAAAAACTAATTAATTTAAATGCTTTTAAATACCTTTTTAAGACAGACTGAGTTTATACACGACATACATTATATACAAATATTTGGCTGCTCCTGGTCAAATGACATATTTTGTTGATTGTGTAAGTGAAAATAAGTTAACACATAACACAGCCTCTACAGAGAACACATTACTACACATTTTAAGACACAGTTACTGTATATTGCTGAATTGAACGTATTGGGGAAAAAAAAAAAACATCAAATGTGGCCTGAGCCGTTTTTTCTACTATGTGAAACTCAGCAAATAAACAGAAAAAAAATCTATAAATTGTAGAAAAATTCCATATTTAACTTTGTTCCCTGTAGGATGTGTTAAATTATTGTCTATTTAAAATCAACAAAACATTGAACCTTCAACTGTATGTCACAGTCAGTAGCCCTCTTTCTCAGTTTCTCAATCAAGCTCTACAAGCTGCTCCCTCTTTTCCTGTGCTAACGTTGTTATCAGACCTGCCATCCTAAAGCCCTGAAGTCAGATTCTGACCACAGGACCACTGTCTGCTGGATGTCTTTGGTTGGGGGACTATTATGAATTAGTTTAATACACTGATGACTCTTTTCAACCCAGATTTCTTAGAATGTAATACCTCTAGTAGCAAAAAAATAACACAAATTGTTAGATATCTTATGAGCTTACTACAAATTTCATTATAATAACTTTATGGTATTTTGGGTTGATAGTCTACAGAAAATATACAGCTAATCTGGCTGAAAGTATGTCCTCTACAAATAGCTTGAAATGACCAATAAAGTCACAACAAGGTTGATTTGATTACAGCAGACAAACTAACTTTATATGAAGAAATTCATGAAAAACTACCATATAAGCCACAATTTTTAGGTCCATCTTAATAATGGCTTTTAGGAGCAAATGTGGCAGTGCTGTCATGCACTTCTAGTTTGTTCAAGGTAAACATCTCCACTGTTTTAACATCTTGTACACTGCAAATCTTTTGCCCTCTGATTTCTGCCCCAAATGTCTTAATGATAACTTTTCTGTCTTTTAACATTTCAAAAGCCCACATTAACCTTCAAAGTCTGGGATGAAATCCTAGATGTTTCATAAGGCATGCTAGTGAAAAAGAGAACTGTTTGACGTGATCGCAATCAGTGTTAAGACACATTTTCACAGTGTTGAAACAGTGACTTACGTCAAAGCGGCCGATTGAGGCTGAGGTTTGGCTGGACTGCATGATTTCAGTGAGTGCCCACATCTGCTGAATGCTGGATGACACTTCGTCTGGGTCAGGAAGTCCCTAGCAGAACAAAAACTGCATCTTAATTTGTGCCTTTTCATTGTGTATGACCACAGGCTGCTGTACGCTGGAGCTGGAGCCATCAGAGGAAGCTACAATTTTAAGTGTTAAAAGTAGCCGACACACTAAGAAATAGCTGGCACAAATATAGCAAAAACCTGTTTATTTATTTTTTTTTATTTTAAAGTTAGCATATGCTTGTATGGAGGCTATTCAATTTAAATGACATGAGATCCTATGCCATAATTTGTCTTATCTTTTTTTGGGCAAAACCACTAAACCACTCAACAGGGCTGGACAACACAGACAAAATATTAATACTGTGATTATATTTTCTGCGTATTATGATCATGATACACTTTGAAATACATCAAAAATGTACTGGTCAACAATAATGTAACATGAATAAAGTTGTTCTGCATTAATTTTAACTAAAACAAAAGATTTACTTTAGTTATATATAGTTTATATGGAGACCTTGAGACTCACATAAACACTATTCTAGATTCTCTAGATGATCTGATTGGTCAGGTTGGAAGGCTTGTTTGTACACTGCAATCTTCTGCAATACCAATATCGCAAAGGCCAATATGTTGTTGATGATCAACTTATGAAATATACTGTTAAGCCCCTTTGTTAGATTTAAAACTCTACCCTACAAAAAATCCAGGCACTGCATAGTGGAATACAGAGTAAAGAGAAAGAATATAGGGTACAGTGCCCAAACTGACACACAGGGATAGGGTCAGTAACTCCAACATCAATGCAACATGAATGGAATATTTTTTTCAGTCATTTTTAATCATTCTAGGAGGATGAAGAATGGCAGTACATGGCACCACAGTGTAACAATATCGATCACACTGTAGAGAAGGTAAAAACAGGCTACATATTGATAGGATTTCATTACAGTGGACTGTGACAGAAGCATGGCTGTCCTGTATGTAAATACAGTTACAGGTAGGCCTTGTTTTTTTTTTTTAATTTAAATGTCAGAAGCTTAATGGAAAAGAAGATGCAGCAATTGTGGTCAGTATGTTTATCGATAACTCTTTTTAAATTACAAACTGAATGCAGGTGTGGCTTAGACCAGAAAAATTAGTGTGTGGTGCTGGAGCTTTGGGCTGATAATATATATTATTGATTACCGTTACAATTTAAGTGCTAATATTGTGCAAATTATGTTTTTTCTCACTCTCTTATACATGCCACCTGCGTTACGTGTTTGTTTGTTTGTTTTTTAACTGCTTTGCCTTTTTTCAACCATTCCCCTCATGCAATCATTCAAATTTATTGTTGGCTAAATAAAAATGTGTGTAATAGAAAATTATAGATGAAGCAAACAGAGCATCAACTTATGAACAACATACATATATATTTTGAATGACATTTGGAAAGATAACAGATTTTCCTGCTGAACTCTCTGGAGAATTTGCAAATGAAACAGAGAAACTCTGTAACATGAGATGTACTCTCTAATTTTCAACCAAACGGACGTAGAGCGCCACTGGATGTTAACAGTGTTGCATGCTATCTGTGCAGAATGTATTTATTATTATAAGTTACTAAGTAAAATTATACATGCTATCTCAGTTAGTAATTACATGATAATTACACTACTATCAAGAAAATGCAAGCTACAGGGTAAGGCTCTGTAACACTTGTGTGGCATTGCGTAACTGAATTTGGACCACGATGTTATTGTTTGTTTGTGCGATAATTCTGCAGATGATAATTATTTGTCTAAATTCACATTATCTTCCAAGCTTAGTGTTTACAGACTATGATGGGCTGCAGACTGATCAGGAAGTGTGGTTAATAGCATGCATAAGGAATATAAATTAGACATTCAGCATTCAAGATTTTGGAACAAGCAGGCCTTTTTGTTCACTGATGTTGACTGGCTGCTTAACTATGCAAACTGGATACTGAATGATAATTTTCAGATACTCTGTAAAACTGAGGTAATTCAGTTGGTACCATAAAAGTACTGAATTTTCATTAAAAGTATTGAAATTATACATTGTGGAACACTAGAACACTTACATTCAAATCAAGAGGCTCCTCAACAGGTGTGATGGTAGATAACCAGGAAGGAACATCCCTCTCAGAGTCCTGGAGAAAGAAAGGCAGGAAAACTCACCATACAAGTGTTGTAGCTAAAATAGCCAACTGGCTAACCAGCAAGTGAAATAAACAGGTTTTTAATGATGTATCTGCTGTAATTTAAAGCTCTCTGCCATAAAGACACCTGTGACGTTTTTCTAACTTACCCCATTTGTTAATCAGTCGAGACATATTTGGTGTCTGAAGTTTGCTTCTTTATTTTTGCTTTGGAGCTACATGGCTAATATAGCTTACAAATAATTGATGCATTCAGCATTTTCAACTATAATGCATTCTCAAATGGACTTGTTTATGTGGTGTAGAAATGTACTGCTCTATAATATGTTTAGTGTTGTGTTATATGTCATTATATTCAGTATTGTGTGGTCTCAAACTGTATGATATACAATTATCTACAAAAATGGACAAAAGCACATACAAAATTCTTACTTCAAGGGCTACTACTACTGTTTTTAGCTATGTAACGTACTTTGAGGCAAGTGTGTGATGATTTAGGTATGCAGTTTGCACGCTGATTACTTGTTGCCTTGCAGCTCCAGTGCAAAACTAAAACAGAAAACACTTAAAAACAGACATGTCTTGGATGATCGGCTGCATTTGGGGAGAGGGAAGTATTGTATTAAGTTGATTTTAGTCAAACTATCACCTTAAGAAACAGTCATAAAGGAGTGTCCTTGCTTTATACTCACTTCATGCACAAGTGGGTAGATTTTGATCTCCTCAATGTTAAAATTGAGCCAGACGGACGAGGGCTGCCTCTGTATGAGCCGCACTGTAGTAACGTTATCTGGCTGTGTCAGCATCTGTCAGTCACATCCAGAAAACACAACAAAAGAGGAGCCGTTAGTAAAGTGAAGCAGAAATACTGTGATGGATTTAAGACTTTAAACCAGGCATGTCAGACTGTGGTGCCCATCCAGACCAAAGTGCTGCAGAGCTTAGCGTTTACCCTCATCTAACAATCTGAGTTCAGTTCATGAAGGATTTGCTAATTAGCTGATGAGCTGAATCAGGTGTGTTTAGAGAGACAGTGTCCTGAAATCTGCAGCGTTTTGGCCCACGAGGACTGGATCCTGACACGTGTGCTTTAAACCAAGGGTGTTCAAGTCTGGTCCTGGAGGGCTGGTGTCCAGCCTAGTTTGGTAATTTCACTGTTCAAACGCTGATGATGCAAATCTGGTTTACTGGTAGTGTTTGAGCAGGAAAATTACTAAATGGTGTTGGACAGCGGCCCCCCAGGACCAGAGTTGAACACCCCTGCTTTTAATCCATAGTGGAAAACTAAAATCAAGGTCAAGTAACCTTCAAGTGAGACCAAGCAGCTAAAGAAATAAAAGTAAAAACTGTTCAATTTATTTGCCACTGAATGTGATATTTCTAGATTTAAGTGCAAAATCAAACTGACAACTGTCCCTGACTTTTTGTCTATCATATTTTAAGCTCTACAAGCACGTTTACGTTACGGTTAAGTTTACTGATCAACTCCTCGGCTCAGGGGAGACTGTTTTTGCTTATTCATTTAATTAGTTGAGCTTATTCATGACAGACGGTTTCTCCACAAAAGCCCCCAGAAAATACCTGTGTGGTTTCAACCCTCTATGCCTGCTTTCTTTTCACTGCTAGATAAACAATGTAATAATTCTGTGGAGGCTACACAAAGAGCTTCACAATGTACAACAAAAATAACCCCAAAAATGCACTGGATACCAATTTCAGACACGACTTCAATTCTAAATTAAACACTCTATTCTAAGAAAAAAAATCAGCATCAGACAGCCGTTTAGATTTGACTGATATTTATTGTACTCCATAAGAGCAGAACATTTTGGTGATGCTTGGCTACTGTGCTAAAATATCTGCTTTCTATTCATTTTTCCCTTTAAACATTCTATTTCTCTGTATAGCAAATCCAGGTGTATTTCCTCACAATTTCTAACTTTCATCATTTTTTATGTATTGGCACCAGCAGATGTACCTAAAAATTCCCATATCAGTGAATAACTAGTCTCCATACACGTAGGATGTTGTAGGTGCTTAGAGTGGGCGATATCTAGTAATGAACAGTATGGCCAAAAAAATTTGTAGGCCTGGCGTCCCTTGATTTTTAATAAGAACCATTTTTTAAATACTTTTATTGTGCAAAATGGTAAAGAGTGAACAACATATCATCACTGTCCAAAAAACCAGGCATCTCCATTTTTGTCGATTTTTATCTTTCTACACCATTTGAACACGGCAGCGACCCTTTACACTGTGTGAAAATTGACGATAACTGAATCAATAAAAACGCTTTATTCCAAGATCACTTGGAATAAAATCTCTTTACCTTAACTAATATTAAATGTTAATCTCAAGTTACCATTTTGGAGATACATGTTTTTCTTTGGACAGCCACAATACAGATAAATATATTTTATCTATTTATTTAAATCTATTATCTATCTAAACTGAATGAATTTCAATAAGGCTGAAGTTGGCTTGTTATTTCAGTTTTTTGTTCCAATTTTCTTTTCCACTTTAAATGGAGCAACAGTTACTTTCTGGCACCTGTACAGGCTCCTGAACGGAACTGCTGCACCATTTAAGGTGGAACAGGTATTCTGAATAAGGGGCAACTTCAGCTTCAGCAAATTTCTGACTGTAAGACCCTGGTGGAAATTGGAAAATATCACACATGTTCACACTATTAGTACAAGACGGCTGACGGCTTGTTTTGCGCACAAGGCCCAGAGACTGACAGCCTGAATCACCCCTGACTCCTCCACTCAGCTAAAGAGACTAACATAGCACAGTCTGCACTGCTTGTATGTTGCGTTATCTGTGCCTATTTACGGCACACTGGAATAACGGTTATGACAAAACTTATACTGCAGGAAGAATTTCAACTGGTATACTGAATGAAATTGCGTATCGCTCACTACTAAATATATCATCATGATCCTTGATTACATTTTTACAAAGCAAAATATGTATAAAGATATTGTTTTTTTTTAGGTTTCCAAGCAAAAACATTTAATCAGCAAAACATTATTAGCCATAAATAAGACTATGAAAAAAAAAACTATGATTTCTTTCTTACAATCATTTATTTTTTATGTTTGCAAAAAGAAATTAAATTGTAAGAGGAAACACAATGAAAACTATCAATTGAAAAAATCAATAAATACATTTAAATAAAATGAAATGATGTCATAATCAACTACACCTTTAGAAATAAAGATACAAAACTGTCACTGGGGCAGTTCCCCTCTTGTCACTGGGGTTTTACCCTCAAGGGTACATCTCAGTACCTTTAGTCAGGGAACATAACTGTACCATAAACCACTGAAATTATATTTTCTAAGCTGTATTGATTCCACACACCCCGTCTCATCTCCAGGATTTTATTTTACTGTTCTGTTTTAAAACATCAGATCATGAAAAGGTATAAATACGTACTTTTCAATTGGAAAAACTCATTTAAGGTGCACAATTGGACCTTAAAACCACTGTTGTACCTTGGAAGGCCTATTTACATTGTTTGTACCTTGACGAACGTAAAATGTACCTGCACTGTACATTCTTTTCCAACAGTGTACTTGTTACTATGCAGTTACATGGTGGTGGTGTTTTTTTTTCTTTTTTTTTAAAGGCTCTCTGTAATAAATAACCCTAAGATATCGTCTTACTGCCCACCCCTAACAGATGCTGACTAAGCATGACAACTTTGAAAATGATATCAGTTTAGTCTGATGGAAAAACTCCATGCTTTCCCAAACACGTTAACAAATGTCTCACTGCAGCGTCACCACAGGGTAATTTTCACATGGCTCGACATGCATCGTAAATGAGAATTTACAGCAATTGTGATGTATAAGCCATATGAATAAGCGTTTGATGTTAAAGATCAAAGACGGCTCGGCGCAAATCACGGGGATAAGGAGGCTCCAGCACAGCTGGGTTTCAGTATCAGTGTACATTTTATGAGTCAAACAGCTGCATGCAGCAAATCATCTCTCCTTATTCGACCACTTAACACAGAGATAATCTGGGGACATTGATACATTAGCATAGCATTAGGCAGCCTTTGAAACTGAACAAAACAGCATCAGGGGAGGCTGATCTCACCAAATTAAGGGGATAATTACCAAAAAAAAATTCTGAGATCAAAGTCTGAGCAAATAGGGTCCCTAGAGATGTAAATGAACTGAGTAGCTGGGAAAAAAAAAGATCTTTGAACACTGTAGAACTGACATGATTTTAAAAGTTCTAAGGTTCCTTTGCCTTTTCCTTTGATGAGGGTTCACAAATTTTAAATTCTCCGCAAAGGTAATGTCCTAAAGGTGATTCTTGGGAACTTTTTACCGATAAGTTTTTCATTAAGTGCCTTTCCTTTACCCCCCTCACAAATGTGGGCATCTCTCGCTTTCAGCCATTTACTGGTACTGAGGAGGTACTCTGCGCCTCAGTCTTTCACTCCCTCTCCCTCTCTCTGAAGTGGGTCAGCCTGACCTGCTGTCTGTAGATGGAGAAGTAGTCCTGTGATCCTTCTTCAGTGTGTGGGTTGGCCATCAGACAGTGATTTCTCACACAGGTGACCCACTTAGCCGAGCCATCCTCGCTCCCCACCTCCTTCCTCAGCACGCGCACCGTCAAAAAGGCTGTGTACGAGTTCTTGAAAGAAATCTCCTGAATCTAGATGACCAGTGACAAAAAAGAGGAGATTCATACAGACAATCGAATAAGCTACTGTACTGGACAAAGCTCATTTTAGGCTCAGTAATTACTTTAACATGTGCACTAACGATTCAATATTTGTCTATGACTGCTAGTCTAAGCTACGATCATGTAACCAGCATGATATGCCTGTCAGGGTCTGACTAAGGTCTTAGCCGACTTAAATGAACCCGTGGTGGAAGCTGATACCTTACCGATAGATTTGCAAACCATTAGATCTCTCCACTGACTGGCACACTGTGAAATTTTGCTTTTTTTCTTTTTACTTTGACACCTGTTATGAAAGTTTTTTGCCACCAAAATAAACACGAGTCACAAAAGGTGACAGGGAAGCACTTCAGCAGAGAGGAAGAGATGCCTTCATGTTAAAAATTTAGTCAGAAATAGACAGCATTACATATTCATAAGTGTATTAAAAAGCTCCATGAAGTGGGTGTTTTTTACTGCTGTAAAATCTAACTATGCTTAAATGTAGGATTAATCATTTTGTATCATTTTTGTTTTACAGTCTATATCATCAACAACATTGCCTTAAATTTTAACTGGGTAAATTGACCCCATTAACACACAGTTTGTGAACTGCCTCCAGATGAGTTAGACCAATCAGAGACCACCAAACACTCATGTGCAGTGAACATGACAACACAACTAACTGGCAGTCTAGCACACTATCTTCAGTGTTCATGCCTTAAGCCAGGAAAAAAGTGGACATGCTGATCTTAATGGCCAAAAATACAAGGCATGGATGCAAATGTATATCAAATAATATTAACTACGGGTCAGAAAAATTGAAAATAGATATTTTCCCCAAAACCATTGAGCTCCACTGTAATGCATGTAAACAGGACTATAAATGGAAGAGTCTTTCAAACACCTCTTCTAACAAACGTCTTGGTTTGGGTCAGCTTCAAAGACTGACTAATAACTTAATTGTGTGCATGTAAACTTAATCACTTTCTCCTGGTGTTTGTAATTATGCTACTATTTTATTCAGACTCTTTTATCTTTCCAATGTTTCTGTGTAAAGCATGTTGAGATTTTAGAATTAAAATGAAAAGTGCCATATTATTATATATTTTATTATTATTATTATAGCAAAACTAGTTCATAAGGAGTCTTAATTCGGGTAAGGAACTATTTCACCCACCATTCATCAAATACTTCTATAACTCTTGTAAGGCCAGAATGAAAAATTTACATAACTGATTATTCTACCTGCCTTTAATCTGATTCCCAACCACCTTAACCCAACCCTAATGCATCTGATCCAGCCAATCACGGTCTTGTGAAGACATTATTAAGCTGGAGGAGATGGGGCAGCTTGTGATTGGAGCTAGACTCTGCAGAAATATAGACTCCAGGACCAGGATTGGTGACCAGTGCATTATGGTTTCTGCTGTTTCTCAAAGTTCCATCTGAGTTTTTTTTAATCAAAGGATAGAAGTCAAATCTAGTGAATTACAACCTGTCAGAATGAGCACTTCAGAGTGTCTTTGTCTTTAAGCAAATGACACACAAATGTGTCGACTTTTGTCCATAATCAACACTGCAGACAACTGTCTTCGCATAAATTGTCTATTTCATCAAAAAACTTACCACAGAACATCTAATTACTATAGGAAATGCACCAATCTAATGAGAAAAAAGCAATTTCATATTTTACTGAATGGTGATTTATCACAATTACAGCTGGACAGAGGGGTCATGATTAAAAACTAGTAATTAAACTGGCATTTGGACTAATCAATGCTTGTATGACTCCAGGATCCAGAACTGTTAACTGTTGGCTGAAATGTCTTAGAAAATGCAACTTCTAAGGATTTAATCATTTTTAAAAGAGATCCCGCCTTCATCCAGCTCTAAAGGCCACTCCAGTGTAGGTTACAAGTTACCTCAAGGACCAAAGACCGAGCTATATAACTCACCTTTCTAAAGATAAAGCACTTACGTTGACTGGCTCTCCAAACACAACATCAGTTATGTAAACACCAGGACGGAACGAGTCTGACACTACGTCCCCTATCTGCAGGGCCACCGGGGACTTCACAGTGCAGTCCACTGGATTGCCAGTCATAGTGTGGACCTGAAATGGCAGAACAACAGCACAAAAATGCCAAATTTTCAAAGACCCTGTTGTAACCCCAAGGATGACAATGTTCTAAAGAGTTTATGGCAATGTTTCCTGCACCAGACCTTAGGGAGCTCCAGTAATATCCCAGCTCGGGGTACTGGACTGATTGCTTCAGGTGTTATTACTACAAAAAACTCTATTAACATCTAACAGCAATTGTTAGCTAAGTAACTAATGAGCCTGCATACTCTCATATACTAAATGATGAAAAGTAACTGCTTACACTGAGACAGTACCATGTAATTCAGTAAAGCGTGGATGGAGCTGTTCTTTTCTCAGTATTGTTTTTGTATATTTGTGAGAAAAGTAAGTTACTTTTTCCTTCCTCAGTTCCCTTTCACTCTCTCTCAATTCTTGTATTTATTATTTATTTGTTTGTTTACATTCTGTTCTGTTTGCTCAGCACCTCGATAAACTGTTGCTCACATCTCTCACTTCGGCACTTTTTTTTAGATCAAAAGCAACCCTTGCACGGTGCTAACAAACATCCATTCTTATGCTGCTAGATGCTAAATGTGGAAAGAAGTTAAACGGGGGTTAAATTTCTCCATAATTCTTTGGCTAACAATTTCTCAGACATCCGACAGTGAATTCATAACCATTTCATGTAATAACTTTCTGTGAGGGCGCTTTTAGAGGTGGTTCTTATCACCACCACTGTGATAAACCCTCACTCCAGAAGGTTCACACCAAACCACTCTGAATGACCTTGTTGACACGGTAACCATTTAATCATGTAAAAAATTTCGAAAAATCGGTGGAGTTCCCCTTTAAGCGCAGTTCTATAGGAAACTCAGAATTAGGGAGTTTGCGGACGCCAGACTTTCACTGCTGGTTTAATTGCTACTTCTCAAGTTAGCTTTTTGTAAATATGTTTGCTTCTACTTTAGCTGTTTGCCTTAAGCTGCTTTCAACACCAGGCTGAAGTTGTCTTCTCATTCGATCTCCGTTCCACCTTAAATGGTGCAGCAGTTCTATTTCAAAGCTGAAGCTATGCAGGCGGAGGAACGGAACGGCTGCAGCATTAAAGGTGGAACGAAAAATTGTACGCTAGCTAGTTAGCAAACAAAGCTGACGAGTAAGAAGCTAACTTTAGCTTTGTGTGTAAGTGCACAGTAACATTCTTTCACATTAAAAGGGTATAAAAACAACTCAATAAGTAGCGTTAACTATCAATGCTAACTACAGTTCGGCTTGCTAGATAAGTTAGCATTTAGCTCACGCTGGAGGACTAACGTTGACGGTTAGCTTACCTTTTGAGTTAAGCGCAGCAACCTAACCTGGAAAAGCCACAGACACCGGCTTATAGGGCTCGAAATAAGTCTTAGAACAGTTCTGATATCCAATACATTTTAATCGTATCAACATTAACACAGATAATAAGCACGGATAAATTCGGAGCATCCTTCGTTTACAGCTGCACGCTTGTTCCGGTCTCCGCAGCCATGGCGACGCGGCTTCTTAAAGGGCCAGTTATATTATTTTAACCGAGCTTGTCAGACACTGAGGCTAATGGATTCTGATAGCCTGTATGCTAACATGTTTCATTTGGGTGAAAGCTTAGAGCTCCAGTAAGAAAACAGAACCACAAACCATTATAATAACATATAATTAAATTTTCTATGTGATAAATATACTTCATACATGTAAAATGCATGGTTTATCTGTGTTTCCACTATGATAGTTTGGAAACTGTAATGTCCACCCCGCTAGAAAAACTAGCATTGCTGGTCACCAGGAAAACCAGCATATCTATTATATATATTACATATATTATAGCATATATATTGTTGTAGGAATAAAACAGTGAATCTTCAAAATGGTAACTTTACAGGAGAAGGGAAAAAACTAGTTTACTTTTAATGTAACTCAATGGAACCAGACTTTTTTCCAAGTGATTTTGGGCCACTTCTTTTGGTCTATTCATCATGAAATCGACACACAATGTAAAAAACTGAAAAAAGACAAGGTTTTGTCAGCAGTGATATGTTGTGTTTTTAATGATGGTATGATGGTCATTTAGCATGACTATGAAATGCATGCTGGTCTGTGCTGTTTTTTTTTCAGCAGGGCAATCATGGTCCTGGAGATCTTCCACCCTGGAGAGTTCAAATCGAACACACCTGACTTTATTCTTCAGAGGCCGCTGAAGGTCTTCCTTACCTGGATCAGGTGTGATAGACTGGTTGAACTTAACTCTGAAGAGTAGTACATCTCCAGGACCAGCACTGGGCACACCTGAGGTACATATTGTGTAGAGCAGGGACTGAGGCATTTAGTCAATCCTTATAAACTGTATGCTAAATAATCTCTACCTTTATCTATCAGCTTCAACAAGGCCTGCTTACACCTTACATCATTATGCGTTTCCATTGATCGCATCACGTTCAGATGAAAAGCCGGTGTAAACAGCCCCAGGACGCATTGTGATCCGATTACACAAGTGTAAATGGAACGCATTTTTGATATCCTTATATAGTTACATAAACAGAAATGCGTCCACCAAGCTCTGAATAGGAAAGAGCACAAACAAATGGACAATACAAGGCTGATATGGGGCTCATCTGGTCAAACTGGGAGCGCATTTTAGTGAAAAGTGTAAGTGGAGTCTGGCTAAATTTTATCCATATAAGATCAGGACATGAAACACATGTTTATTCAAGGTTTGAACACGTTCTCAGTTTGGAAAATATACATGTACATTATATGTATTAGAGTGAGGCTACCATTAGCAACAGCACCACACACCGAGTTTATCATAAACCAAGTCTTACATAGTAACATGTACAAATTGTATGTTGCCTGTTGGGCAGTATGATGTTTCAGCCTAGTCAATTCTGATAGACTTGGCCTTGGTTTCCCAGACATGGAGCCTAGTCCCAGATTACACGGCATTCTGAATGGAGATTATCCACTGAAAGGAGAAGGTAGTTCAGGACTAGGCTTAATCGCTGCCTGGAAAACCAGTGATCTCTGTATAATTTGAGTAAAGCTTAAAGCTCAGATTAGGAGACAAAGCCTTAAAGCATGCTTACATTTACCAAACTTTAAATGGTAGCACATTTGAATGTCTGCATGTACGGTTTCTACTGAGACAGCATGGAAAATACACATTGTATGTAGATACTGTATGTATTTAAACTGTAAAGGGTAGCAGTATTTAGGCCTAATAACGTATTCTGATTAACTTCCACTACTTTTGAATTGTTTTCCATGAAAACCCAATATAAAACCCAATATACTGACAGGTTACAGTATAAAATGTTATGTTCTATTATCCCTTGTAACACTTTCTAGCAGTTTCTTTTCTCAGTTTTCTTTTTCCTTTTTCAGTTTTCAAGCTATTTCTCGAAAGTACTTATGCAAATATGTATTTCCATGTCTATTTCGGTGTCTGCTTTTGACTGCATGCATGAATACACAGACAAGCATGTGGTTTTCTATATTTGAGAGGTAGAAGAAACCATTTTAATCCACAAAGGACCTTGCACATGGCCTTCTCGTAAAATTTTAAAAGATGAATCAAATTCATTTAGCACTTGTAGGAGAAAGAAAACAGCTACAATATTCATACATACGCCTTGCATGCTAACGTGCCTGGATGTGCATTTCCAGTAGCCACAGGCCACAGGTAGAGGGCAGGAATGCTCTATGGTTTGCCAGCTTTGCTGCTGTGGAGGAGATTTTAATGGCACACGCTGCTCTGCCAACAGCCTGATTGGCTTTATTGGTTAAATAAATGCCTTTAGGCTATTCCAATGTACTTGAGTTCAGTACATTTGGTTCGACATGGGCCCCCTGCTACATGGGTGATAATTAAACATGCTTAATCATTCACAAGATGCACATTCTAAGCACAAGTGTCTTTTCCGAAAGTCAGGTCTGTGCTGCATTACAATGAAAAGGAGGAGTATTCTTGAATCAGAGCAAGCTTTCTGTGGAGAAATGTGTCTTGAAGTTCTCTTATGCTGTATTGATTTCCGTTTGGTGCAGAAGCATCCTTCAAACGTATTCTCAGTATGAATCAGAATTTGGGATGAATGCATTCAGACATACTGAGAACAGCTGTTCATTGCATGCACTAAGAATGCCCAATACATCCACACCTCAAAAATGTTTTGTTGGATTTACCACTATCATTTTCATTTTGAATTTATGATAAACTGGCAAGATTAAGTTATTTATTGTCTTGGACTGCCTTTAATGTAGACTGAACATATGGCGAGAATTACAATGGAACAAAAACTGTCACCTTGACTATAAATTCTAGACTGCTAGACATGATATCCAGCCACAACAGCACATTCCTCCCACGTACAGACACACACAACCTCTCAAGACTGATTTCCCATTGGAAGAGAGATGGTGCAAAGCGCTTCAAAAGCTATTATTATTATTAAGTGCTGTCAAGTCAATTCCGACTCCTGGCAACCATTTGGATGGTGTTTCTCCAGAATATCCTGTCTTCTGTTTAGGTCTTCGGGCTTCTTAATGGCTTGTTCATGGTTCCTCTGATTGTCTCCATCTATCTTGTTGCTTGTCCTCTTCCCCTTTTACCATCCGTTCTTCTAAGCACAACTGTCTTTTCCAATGAAATGGTTCTTCTGATGATATGTCCAAAATAAGAGGTTCAGATGGACGAGAAGTGAGGCTTGATTTGATTAAAGATCTATTCGTTTTCCAAAAGTCTTCGCCAACCGCAAAGTTCAAAGGCATGTTTTTCCTCTCTCGTTTTTTTTAATGGCGAGCTTTCATTTCCACAAAGTATCACAGAAAAGACCATAGCCTGGACAGTTCTGATCTTTGTTGACAATTACAATTTAGGTTTTTAATAAATGAAAACTGTTTATGTTGATCCAAAGAGAATTCCAGCCCAAATATATTGAACTGAAATATTTCAGTTTTGTTCTGAACTTTATGTTGAAATAACAACGTCTGTGTTTACTGACTCTGCTGTACTTGATTGAATGGAAACGTGTGGCATAACTGAATTCATAAAACAATTAATCTGTCTGTCTATCTGTCTATGTATCTATATATCTATGTATCTTTCTAGCAATCAATCAGTCAACCAACCAATCTATCTGTCTGTCTGTCTATCTATCTATCTATCTGTCCATCTATCTATCTATCTATCTATCTATCTATCTATCTATCTATCTATCTATCTACCTATCTATCTATCTATCTATCTATCAGTCAATCAGTCAACCAACCAATCAATTTGTCTGGCTGTCTGTCTGTCTATCTGTCTATCTATGTATCTATCATACACCCCATTCATTCACCCATCCCCCTCTTAAAGACCCGCCTTATGGCTCAGTCCAGCTACGACACAATAGAAAACACCCCCCCCCCAGGTTCAGCCATGCAATCCCAAGATTCAGGCCAAGGATTTTGCATCAGACATGTTTTCAACACGACGTAGAATTGCTCTTACCTTATCATGCATAGATGCATGAAGGGAAACAGTGAGCAGATTGTATATTCTTAAGTACAAACAAAACGTGTCTTCTTCAGTGAGGTCCCATCCACCATTCATGAAACAGGGTTGAATTCTGAATGGAAATGAGTAACAGCATATTAACCCTTGATAATAATGATGGGTGTGAACTAATTATATATCAAAGCCTTTTAAAGTTGCTTGCTAAAAGAAGCACGTGTAGCCTGTGTGAATGCTGTGGATGCGACGTGGCCTACATGCATAGCGTGGTATTGTGATGTAAAGAATTTAAAAAGGCTTCTGTAATGACTGCAAACACTTAAGGAAAGAACATTTGGGAATTCACATTTAATTATAGATAATGTCAAAATCTAGGCTGCTGTAGAGGTTTTATCTGCTTTTGCAAGCTAGCAAAATAGCACAAATTACACATAATCAAGTGCATCTGATTTTCTGGGTCGGGACACACGCTCTCTCTCACAAACACACCCAAATGAGCCGGACGGAGCTGCTTGATGTTTACATTCTTGATGGCTGCAGGTTTTATACATCATTTTTAAACGTTTAGTTTTATTACCAGCATCAGCAGAAACCCAAAGCAAAAAAAAAGCAGCCTCGAGTCACTGTGTCTGCCATTCACTTGCTTTCCGCCCAAAAACGCCTCGCTCTCAGGGAGCCTCCATATTATGAATAATTGATAGCTTTTTTTCGTGTGGCAAGGAAATTCAACATATTTATCTAGGTCATTTAGGAGCGCACGCTTTAAAGTGCGTGCCCAGGACTTCTTCAATCTGCCCTTTTGGCTCGTGCCCAGATTCTCGCTTCCTCGCTCAGTGCTCCTGTCGCACTCTATTCACGTTTCAAGAAACCCGTCTTCGTGTTTGGCGTGCTCCGTCGACGGAATCTTTTTTTTTTATTGTGAACACTGAAAAAGGAAGACAGTTAATGCATGTCCCAGATGTTATTACCAAGAGATCCATTAACCGCATTGCTG